TTGTCTTTTAGTGTTTTATCATTTTATTTCCCCTTTGTGAACGTTATTATTCATTTGTGAAATTTATTTGGGGGGAAATTTTCTATTTGGTCCAAATTTCACGCGTACATCATTCAAATGTGTCAGGCCTACCCTTGGCATAAAAGGTTCCCCTTTATGTGTTATGACGCGATATATGTGCTATTAATTGCTTATGTGTTATGTTTCTTTGAATGAAGATATCGTAAACCCACTCCTATCAAGAAATTCCCAGAAGATATATACACGTGTAACTACTACAACATGCCGGACCAAATTTTCCGAGTCTCGAGTTTCTCACCCCATAAACACCTCTCATATTCCAAATACTAAAACATTACTCTACTATCTCAGCAAAAGCAAATCATTGCTATGGATATGGGTAAGAATATCCTCAAACAAAGCAACTTGTGTGTTTATCTGCTCTTTGTGTGATATTATGCATTTTGCATTCTGAATCTACACTGAAAAATGTGTCTTTGAGTTGTTTTCCTTCTCAAGTACTTCGGAACTGATCTGTGTCGACTAAAGGCTGGCAGATCATCCCTATTTCACCAGATCGAAAGATCCCGCAAATTCCTTTCCTAAACGAGATTCAGGCAAAAGAAAGACAGTCATGGGAGGCAGTAATGAAGAAGTAAGTCTCACTGACGTTGTGGTGGGTCAAACCACCATAATGGACCTTAATGAATTGATTTTGCAATTGATGCAGCAAATTGCAGACTCCACCTCCTCCTCAAAACAACCACCCCCAAATGCCAGCCCATCCTAAAAAATACCCACTATCAAACTACTCCACCACCGCAAAATCCAAACCAAAATACTTTATATCCCAAACACCCCATCACCACTTAAATCAGATTACCAATCCTCATACTTACCCACAAAATTACCAAACCTCTCAAAATGCCCAGAGTCCCTCCGTAGCTCCACCCGTACCAAAAAAAGCCACTTTCCAGATTCCCATCCTTGCTGAGAATGACGTGCACGGTTTTGAGCTAGACCATTATGAGGAACAGGAACGAGAGTGAAGGCCAAAAGAAGAGACAAAGGTGGATATAAAAGAAGAGATCAAGAAAGCCATGAAAGAGTTCCAAAACATCCCTGATGCCGCTGGTCTTAACTATGAGGATTTATGCATCCATCCAAATTTGGACCTCCGAGAAGGGTTCAAGATCTCGAAGTCTGATACTTTTGGAGGAGTGGGAAACCCTATGGCTTATCTGAGATCCTACTTCGATCAACTCGTGGGAGTTGGTAGGGATAAAGCTCTGTTGATGCGGCTTTCAGCCAAAGTTTGTGCGGAAAGCCTCTAGAATGGTTCACCTTCCACAAAACCCAGCAATGGCCCAGCTGGAATGCTCTGGCAAAGGATTTCATCGATCGATTTACTTATAATGTAGAAATCATTCCCGATTGATACTCTTTGGAGAAGATGAAGCAGAAATCCATCGAGAGCTATAGAGAGTTTACCTATAGGTGGAGAGAGAAAGATGCAAGGGTAAGACCGCCTATGTCTGAAAAGAAGATTGTCGAAGTGTTTGTGCGAGTGCAAAAGCCCGAATTTTATGATAGAATCATGTTGCTCGTTGGAGCGAAATTCGCTTAGATAGTCAAGGTTGGTGAGACTATCGAAGATGGTTTAAAAACAGCAAAAATAACCCGTGTTGCTGCATCCCCCTGATCGTCGGGATCGTTAAAGAAAAAGAGAGAAGAAATCGCTACTGCCTCATATGAGGGGAGGAAAACCCTCAGAAGATCGTCATCCTCCCGAGGTCGTTCTTGAACTTCTCAAAACTTTTATAAAGCTTGGTACACGCAACCTAATCATCCAAATAATCATTCTCCAGTCTACCAAAATCCACCTCCAAATTATCAAAATCCATCTCCCATTTACCAAAATCATCCTCCACTTACCAAATTCCACCCCCTCACATCCAAATTGCCGCTCCCAACTGTGCCAATGTACAGTCAAGCTACTGAACACCCCTTCTAGTCTATCAAAATGCCCCCACGAACTACTAAGCTCCATCACAAAATTACGAAACAAATCCAAATCCCAGAAGGCAAGCTCCCACTCCAAATACCAGAAGTTATCAATAGGTACCCTCTCCCCAACAAGGCAGTTATGATCTACCCCGACCCAAATTCGAGAAGAAGCCTCCTAGGAATTTTTCCACGCTCGCTGAAAGTCGAACAAAACTGTACGAGTGACAGGCTGCGGCTGGATACATCCATCGTTAGGGCCCAAGCCGGTGGATACTCATTCAAAATTCTACAGGCCCGATCAAAGGTATATCAGACATGATACCGAAGACTACATCAACCTCAAGCACAAAATTCAAGATCTGATCGACCAAGAAGTGGTCTCTCTTCAAACAACCGCGCTTAATGTTAACACAAACCCTTTGACGAATCATGGAGGCGTCAATATCAATATGATAGAGACAGATGACGATTAGTGTGTGACTAAGGTGATAACTTCAGTTGTGCATGATGAGTTAGAAACGGTTGTGTTCTCATTGAGCTTCAAGGAGAAAAAAAAGTTTGTGATCCTGACACCCGCAAAGGCTGTTGCCTTGGTGCCACCAGAGAATCTTGTCAAACCAAAATTTGTGAATGAAATTGTTGCCGCTCAGGTATGAACCGATCTGGGAGGTTTTATACTCCCGAAGAGTTGGCTTCTGGAGGACCAAAGAAGGATCAGGGCAAAAGGCTGATAAGCGAAGGCAAAGCGGAGGAATTATGGATGTAGAGGTAGCCAAAACATTATTCTATTGTCAAGAATTTGGAGAAGACTCCAGCCCTGATTTCCATATAGGCCCTGCTGATGAGCTCTCAATTGTATAGACAGGCCTTGATGAAGGCTCTTGATGATACGTATGTGCCCGTCGGCACAGACAACAATAATGTGGCCGCTAGGATTAACCAAGTTATCCAAGGGCATTGGATTAGTTACTGTGACAATGAGTTACCTTTTGAAGGGAGGTCTCACAACAAGGCGTTGCGCATCACTGTCGTATGTCGCGAGAAGGTCATAAACCGCGTCTTGGTGGATGATGGATCTGGTCTGAACATTCACCCATTCTCAACACTGAGGCAGCTAAGGTTTGACTTGGGAAAGCTGAAACTAAACCAAGTCAATGTAAGAGCCTCTAATGGGGTGCAGAGAGATACATTGGGAGCGGTGAATCAGATCATCCAAATGGGTCCGGCAGAATTCAGTGTACAATTTCAAGTTTGGACATTGACATTAGATATAACCTTCTTCTGGGAAGACCTTTTATCTATATGGCTGGGGATGTGCCATCTACTCTTCACCAGATGATGAAGCTCGTTTGAAAGGACAAAGAGTTGGTTATCTATGACGAAGGGAGTCACTCCGGCAGACAGGCACCAATTATTTATAAAGTATCACGACGTACAGATTTCTACATGGTGGAGCTGGTAAATGTCACCGGTAAGGACTTGTCCCCACAGACTCTCATGCCTGGCGTGTATAAGATGATAGACACTGTGATGCTGCGGAATGGGTTCGAACCAGGTTTCATATTGGGAAGAAATTCCCAAGGGATTACAGAGCCTTTCCCCGTCCTCGTCAAAGGAGCTAGGTATGGTTTGGGGTAAATCCCCACAGATGATGATATGAAGATGAAGAAGAACAATGATCAAGCATTGGTTAAGCCAGTCCCTCATCTATATCAATCATTTCCAGTCAAGGAGTATGCCGAGCATGATGACCTTGGGGAAGGAATATGTGGCCTTTTCGAAGAGATCAATTCTGATATTGATGAAGAGGTCGAGCTAGCTGGCATCCGTGATGCTGAGCCTGGAGAGATGCTGCATAATTGGACCTCCACGCCGATTTTGATTCCCCGAACTCCTTGGTAGAAGGGCATCATTTATGCATATTTAAATCGGTGATAGTCTAGGAGAGGCCCGAGACCCACCATTTTGCATTTTCCTTAATTGCTTGAATTTTAAAATTCCCCCGTGATGTTTGAAAAAGGCAACATGGCTTTTTTCCATAGACAAAGTTTGCATTATTTCCCAATTTGAATTAAAGCCTCTTTTATTGAAAATTTGTTTATTTACTCATCTGCTATACTTTGATTTTCTAACTTTTTTTGGTTATGGTTTCAGTAATGTAAGTTTTAAACCTGCCATGTCATGTCATGTCACGAGCTGAATGAACAAAATGAGGAAGGTGATGATGAGGTTGATGAATATGAAGAGGAAAATGAGCCATCGGGATATGTCGTGAAGAGTTTCTGCAGTTTGCAAATCAGCATAAGTCGAATTGAGAAAACTAAAACTGTAAATCTTGGAGACTAAGAGTGTGTTAGAGAGGTAAAAATCAGCGTTTACTTGAATGAGAATCAAAGAAAGGGCCTCATTCACTTACTCACTGAATACATTGATGTGTTCGTCTGGGAAGTCAGCGACATGCTAAGGCTGAGTACCAATGTTATGTCTCACAAATTGGCGAGTAATCCAAGGTTCAGTCTGGAGAAATAGAAGGCTCGGAAATTCAAGCCCGAGTTGAGTCTAAAGATTAAAAAAGAGATCACAAAGTAGATCGAGTCTCGATTGGTGTAAGTGACACAATACCCGTCTTGGTTGACCAATGTTGTTCCGATCGGAAAAAAAGATGGCAAGATCAGTGGGTCGACTACAGGGATCTCAACAAAGCTAGACCGAAGGATAATTTTCCGTTGCCGAACATTTATATTTTGATCGATAACTATGCTAAACATGAAATGCAGTCATTTGTGAATTGTTATGCAGGCTATCATTAGATTCTGATGGACGAGAAAGATGCAGAAAAAACAACTTTTATTAAACCTTGGGGTGTATATCATTAAAGGGTGATTTCATTTGGCCTCAAGAATGCTAGTGCTACCTACATGAGGGATATGACAACCATATTTCACGATATGATTCATAAGGAGATCGAGGTGTACGTAGGTGATGTCATAATCATGTCCTGTGAGAGTTCGGACCACTTGACACATTTAAATAAGCTCTTTGATCGTTTGTGTCATTACAACTTGAAGTTAAATCCCGCTAAGTGCGTTTTTGGGGTGCCAGCTGGCAAGTTGTTGGGGTTTATAGTTAGTAGAAGGGGTATTGAGCTAGACCCTTCTAAGATCAAGGCAATTCAAGAGTTACCTCCTCCAAAGACTAAAAAGGAGGTGATGAGTTTCTTAGGGAGGTTGAACTACACCAGGCGATTCATAGCTCAATCAACCGTGGTATGTGAGCCTATCTTCAAGTTGTTGAAGAAAGATGCTTTGACAAAGTGGACAGAAGAGTGTCAGAGTGATTTTGATACTATTAAGAACTATTTGTCCAATCCACCTATGTTGGTACCTCCGCGAGAAGGGAGTCCTTTGTTGCTGCATTTGTCCATCTCAGATAACGCATTTGGATGCGTGCTTGGGCAGCATGACAAAATAGGGAAGAAGGAGCGAGCCATCTATTATATAAGCAAGAAGTTCACGCCATATGAGTCTTGTTATATTCTTTTGGAGAGAACCTATTGTGCTTTGACTTGAATTACTCAGAAGTTAAGGCATTATTTGTCTTCTTATACAACATATCTTATTTCCAGAATGGAACCGCTGAAGTATATTTTCCAGAAGGCGATGCCGACCGAAAAGTTAGCTAAGTGGCAAGCTGTTGAGTGAATTTGATATTGTGTATGTGGCTCAGAAGGCGATAAAAGCACATGTCTTGGCTGATCATCTTACAGGAAAATCCTGTTAATGAAGAGTATGAACCGCTCAAGACTTATTTCCACGATAAAGAAGTATTGTTTGTGGGTGAAGATTTTTCTGAAACATATCCTGGTTGGAGACTATTCTCTGATGGAGCAACCAATCACCAAGGTAAAGGTATCGGAGTGGTCTTAGTGTCAGAATCTGGTCAACACTATCCCATGGAAGCTAAGCTCTGATTTAATTGCACGAACAACATGGCTGAGTATGAATCTTGTATTCTTGGTTTGAGAATGGCCATTAACAGAAATGTCAATGAGCTACTGGTCATTGGAGATTCAGATTTGTTGATTCATCAGGTTCAAGGAGAGTGGGATGTGAAGAACCCGAATATCATACCTTAGGTGCAGTATGTACAGAAGTTGTGCAAAAGATTTCGTAAGATCGAGTTCAAACATACTCCCATAATACCAAATGAGTTGGTCGATGCTCTTGCCACCATCGCTTCAATGATTAAACATCCGAAAATTGATTATATTGATCCTCTGGATATAGAGTTGAAAGAACATCCAGTTCATTGTTCACATGTTGAAGCATAATTAGACGATTTGCCATGGTATTCTGATATAAAAAATCACTTGGAGTCCGAATTTATCCTGAAGATGCTTCATCCAACCAAACGAAGTCGATACGCCGTATGGCTCTCTTTCTTTCTAAGTGGAGAAATCCTTTATAGGAGAACTCCAGATTTTTGGGTCTTCTCAGATGTCTCGATGCTTTAGGAGCTGCGAAACTTATTGAAAAAATACATTTCGGAGTTTGTGGCACGCATATGAATGGGCTCACTTTGGCGAAGAAGATCCTGTGAGCCGGTTATTTCTAGATGACTATGGAGAATGATTGTTGCAAGTTCATGCATAAATGTCACAAATGTCAAGTACATGATGATTTGATACGAGTGCCGCCTCACGAACTTGATGCTATGAGTTCACCTTGGCCATTTGTAGCTTGGGGCATGGATGTCATGGTCCAATAGAGCCAGCTGATTCTAATGGACGCATATTTATTTTGGTTGCCATGATTATTTCACCAAGTGGGTGGAAGCAACTTCTTACAACTCGGTAACCAAGAAAGTTTGGCTGATTTTGTTCGCAACAATTTGATATGCAGGTTTGGAGTACCAGAATCCATAATTACTGATAATGGTGAAAATTTCAATAGTCACTTGATGAGAGATATATGTGAGCAGTTTAAGATTACTCACCGAAACTCAACTACTTATCATCCTCAAATGAATCGAGCTGTAGAAGCCGCCAATAAGAATATCAAGAAGATTTTGAGGAAAATGATTGACAATAACTGAGATTGGCATGAAATGTTGCCATATGCTTTATTGGGTTATCGAACGGCTATTAGAACGTCGACTGGAGCTACTCTATACTTACTAGTATATGGAATAGAAGCAGTCACACCTGCGGAAGTAGAGATACCGTCATTGAGAATCTTCTAAGAAGCTGAGTTGAGTAATGCTGAATGGGTCAGCAAGCGAATTGATCAGCTAACTGTGATTGATGAGAATATAATGGTTGCCGTTTGTCATGTCCAACTATATCGACAGAGAATGATTCGCGCTTTCCGCAAGAGAGTAAGAGCAGAAATTTTGAAATCTGTCAGTTGGTACTTAAGCGCATTTTTCCTCATCAAGACGAGTACAAAAGAAAATTTGCACCGAATTAGAAAGGACCCTACATGGTTCACAGAGTGTTATCTGGGGGTGCTTTGGTCCTGTCAGAGATGGATGGCATCGCCATGGCCGAAACCGATCAACTCAGATGTTGCCAAGAGATACTACGTGTGAAGCTTCGGTTTGCATTTCTGCTATTTCCTTGTAATCGTTTTATTTGTTTGTAATTGCTTTGTTTAAATTTTATCCCTCTTGATGAACTACGTTTGACCTAAATTCTCAAGAATGAGATACGTATGAGGTATATGTCGGCCTCAGTCACCCCATTTATCCCCTTTAAATATTTTTTTGAATTTAAACTACGTTCCACCTGAATTGTCAAGAATGAGATTACGTAGGTAGCCTTTTTTGGCCTCGATTGATTTCTTTGTAAATTTTCTATTATCGTCAATATTTGAGGGGGAATTACGTTTGACCTGATTCCTGTATCAACAGGATACGTATGCGCCACAAGGGTTCGGTTATATTTTCCGTAATATTTCTATTTTCTTTACAATAGAAACTAGGATGGCCTCAATATTTAAACATGGGTTTATCGATAGTCTAGAGTGGTTTTGAATACTCCCCAGCGAATAATCAGATATGCTTCCAAGCATCAGGCTCAGAGAAGTTCACTAAGCCTGACGTGACATGACACTTGGCAGCGACCTTTTTCAAAATATTACTTCTCAAAATTTGCTTTCTTAAAATTTTTTCCTCTTATGTTTTATTTTTTCATCATAAAGATATTTCGTCTTATCTATCAAGAGTTGGGAGATCAGAAAAATCAATCAGAGATAGCAGGAAAAGGAGCAGACAACAGAAGAAATCGACACAGATTAGTTCATTTTAAAACTAACAATTTTTTATGGACGCATGTTTATAGCTTCGCTTTAACATCGGTGAATTCCTATGATCGATGAATATGGAGAAGTCAAGGGAGGAGGAATCTCTCCCTAAATTTAATGGTGTTCCTGTAGACGCAGGAATTATTTTATATTATTTATACCGGAGACTTGAGAATATGAATGGTTTATTTCAGTCAATTTCCAATAATGTGAAGTCTGCAAGGAAGGTTCTGCTCATTCGAAAATGAATCAAGCAACAGTCTAAAGAAAGAGTTTACGGTTTCCGAAAAGGACGTCATCTTCATCATAGTTTCAAACATGATATTATACATTACCCGGAAGGGTCATTTATTTTATTGTTGATCAAGACAATACATTACCCAGAGGGGTCATTTATTTATTGTCGATCAAGAAGATGCACTATCTGGAAAATCATTTTATCGTTATATTCAAGTGAGACGATATGATTATCCAGAAGGCACCCAGAAGATCATTATGTTGCTCGATTGAAGCACTATCTTCATTTGGTATCAAGGATGACATCAAGAGTTAATATTTTTGCATCATGAGAAGATATTCATGCCTCACAGAAATTTATGCATCATGGGAAGATATTCATGCCCCACAGAAATTTCTGTATCATGGGAAGATATTTATGCAACGCGAAAGATCATGCATCGCGAGTCAATATTCATGCATCGCGGAAGATCATGCATCACGAGTCAATATTCATGCATCGCAGAAGATCACGCATTGCGAGTCAATATTCATGCATCGCGGAAGACCATGCATCGTGAGTTAATATTCATGCATCGCGAAGGATCATGCATCACAAGTCAATATTTATGCATCGCGAGAAGATTTTATGCCTCACAAAAATCACATATCGCAAGAAGATATTCATACCTTGCAGAATTTATGCATAGCGGGAAGATTTCATACCCCGCAAGAAATCATGCATCGCGAGAAGATATTCATACCTCGCAGAAATTTACGCATTGCAGGAAGATATTCATCATGCCCAGTAAGAAATCATGCACTGCAAGAGAAGAAATCGTGCATCTCAAGAGAAATATATACCCCTCAACATCAACTGCATTCTTTTATTTTGATAAAAGTAAACCGTTGAAGACGACATCAAGAGAAATATCAACACTGCATCATCATTTACTTATTTTGACATCAAATGAAGAGTACATTGAAGATTATATTACAATCGAGGCATAAGCTTTATTTGTTTTATGTCAAATCGATCGAGTTGACGTCAAATGTCGAGGAGAAAAATTAAGTGTCGAAACGGTAAAAGACATTGTCTCTCATTTAAATTGCATTTCCATACCGACGAGTTTATCTCAGTGTTTGTTGAGAGCATCCAAAAGGATGAATTCTTCAAAACATACCACAGATGGGGACGACATAAAAAATGATGCAGCACAACGTGAAACTTTTTCTTAGCAACAAACTAGGACATAGTCCAAAGAGGAGTGTCAAAATATTAGGACGCGAGCAGAGGAGCGACTGCCACCACAATCAAACCACACCCCTATCAGAAGGCATGTGGGTTTTTCTTTGATTTTTGTCAGTTTCGGTTTTGCATCCAGAATTTCGGTGTCTGCCGAAGGCAAGTTTCAAATCTAAGTGACAATGTGCCAAGAGCTTTGGGAATTTTGTCTGTGTAAGTTCTTAATTATGGGTGTGAAGTTCACCACATTCATGGTTAAGAAGTAGCAAGCCTCTTTTTCATACTCGATTTAATTTGTCACTTGTCTAGAACCGAAGGTTATCTATCAAAATAAATTTCCTTTTCAACTGATCAAGTCGAACTACAAACAACCTAATTTCTGAGGTTTAAGGATATTTAGGCGAGCTCAATGTTTGAAAACTCGACTGTATTCCAACATTTGCTCTCGAATCTTATTGTCGAACATTTCGATACCTTCATAATCCGATGTCGAGATGAATTTTGAATTCTTTTAAAATCGTACGTTGAATCTAGCGTTTCGAACTACAAGTGGCCTTAATTCTCATATAGCCTGAGATATGTAGGAAACCTATTTTCGGAATTCGGCCATAATTCCTAAAGACCGAACCAAAATCCCTTCTTAAAGATAAAGATGAGGTCGGTCAAAATTTGCTTGTCAATTTCATTTTCCTCAAATTTATTACATCAATCCCAAGTAAAATGAGGAACAGTTGTTGACACCCAAATTTTGACCCTCCTCGATAGTTTAATCACCGAGCTTCTCGAGTTTGAACAATTTAAAATAATTGATTTTATAGATTAAAAATATAATAATAATAATAATAATAATAATAATAATAATAATAATAAGAATAAGAATAAGATAATAATAAATAAATTTTAGCTTGCAAGTTATTTTTAAAAAAGATTTTGACATTTTTTTTGTGTTAGCTATTGTATATGTCTTATGTAATTATTCGTATTTGGTTAATTATTTCAGATTATATTTTGAATGTTTAGTTCTATTCCGAATTAATTATTTTATTTTTTTAATCTTAAGAAGTTTGTTAATTAATTATAATAATTCAATCTTTTTTTATAACTTTATTCAATCTGGCCAATTACATTTTAATTTGACTAAATGGGTAATTTTCTTAAGACCAATTTGGGCCATTTATTAACAAAATTCCCATAAAATCCTAGCTC